CATACGAATAGATACGAGTAACATACGGATACATACGAGTAACATACGAATAGATACGAGTAACATACGGATACACACGAGTAACATACGGATACATACGGATACATACGAATAGATACGAGTAACATAAGGATACATACGAGTAACATACGAATACATACGAGTGAAATACGAGTACCTACGGATACATACGGGTAACATACAGGTTGCATAAGAATATACGATGGCAGGAGGATAATACGGTGTTTAGGAAACATGCCGGCAAACCGAATCAACCGAAGCGAAGGTTAAAGGGGGAATCAAAATTAATACCTTTAACTTAATAAAATGTAATAACTTCAGTAATTTTTCTCGTTTTATTGTTATGCTTGATCCAATGTTTATTGAAAACACTTCATTTATATCATATGATGCTATTTTATAGTTTTTATAAAGTTCATGATTTTTTTCTCGTTTTAATCATGAGAAAGGTTTTTATAGCGTTATGGGTATATCATTTTACATAACCAATCAATTTAATCTGGATTTTATAAAAAAATTATATACATATATTTGAAATGTACTTACCGGTATAGTAAGAGAACAACCAAAATTTGCCAAATTTGAAAAGAAGCTGGACTTTTTTACCACTTACTTAAGAAAAGGAACGGGCTTGAATACAGTGATTGAAAATCTCCCCCGAAAACAACACTCAACACACACTCAAATAATTGAGCTTTTACTTTGTTATTACATGTACTTGGAGGAAAACACTAGGCCACATTCGTATTCTCGGTGTTGGACTGCAACTAGCTTGCAATCGAGGCTCATGGGGGGAAATATCATTAAAAAGAGATTAATGCCATTTACATTTGAAAAAACTTCCCGCTTTAGCCTCAGTTGCAAGCTAGTTCCCGTCCTATACCGAGAATACTAATCTGATCTATTCTAAGATTAATTTTGTGCGCAATCATCGTAATCATCAACGCAATCGGGGACAAAAAATGGGAACAGTTCGTGCTTGTACTTGTCGAGCAGTAACAACCAACAGAACAAAAATTTGATCAAGAGAAACTGTATGGAAACAATTCGTCCAAAAAGTTAACGCCAGAGCGGAAACTTGGAGTTGGCACAACACAGAATAGGCCATTTCCTCTGTGTCAAAACGAGTCTACGTGCGAAACCATTCATATGAAAATGTGTTCCCCCTACAGGTTCATTTTCATGCCAATCAAACTCATTTTCATAAACAAAGGTTTGCACGAAGACTCGTTTTGAAACAGAGGCACAAGGTAACTCGGACTAGTTTCCTTTATATTTTGTCTTGTTTTGGACGGTTAAACAGCGACCGGAGGGGGGCTTCCGGAAGGCGATTTCCGGGTGGAGGGCTTTCGGGTTGGAGGCGGGGGGGGCTTCCTGGAGGAGATTTCCGGGTGAAGGGCTTTCGGGTTGGGGGGGGGGTATTGAGAGATGGCACTAAAGATTCTAAATTTTAGATCGTCTTGTAATTTGCCAGGGAGCCGTAATGTAATATAAAGAAGATTAAGGGTAGCCTTTTATTGTTTTTAATCAAGGTAGAAGCCTAAGCGTTAAGTTAGTTGTTGTTCTAACTTGTGTGCTTTAAATCTTTAAATAAAAACTCTACCTGGCTCTAATTTTAAAATTGTCTTGTCTCAGTTTAGGTATTACAGTAAATAGGTAAGATTGAGAAAATGACGAAAAGACTCTTCCGACTGCATCTCGAAGGCAGTTGCCATTATCAGTTCAATATACCGTCTCATTTCTTCCAGCATTTCATCTTCTCGGCTAACCTTGTTTTCTCCTTGCTCAGCAGTAGCTACAACTCCTTTTTGATTTGGTCCAAAAATATTCTAGTCAAGCTCTTCGGCTTGTGCAATAGTTTTCCTCGACAACAACTGAATGAAGGCTACGCGGAAACATCTCATTCTAGCAGCTTAAGTCAGTGGATTAAACAGTGAATGAACAGCACAGTACAGGTCATGAAATAAAAATGCTTACATTTATAGGGCTAGTGTCTTCCAAAGATATCAAGATGATAACACAGATATTTACCGGAAAATACCACAGGAAAACTGTGAGAAGTACAATAATTGTGCAGTAAAAAGCTTTCATATCCTTGAGTACTTTTTCTTTACTTCTAAGGAAACTTGATTGGCAATAATGTTTTTCGTTGGGGCCGACCTCCTTGTATACAGAGACATTAAAATAACCAACTAACGGCGAATTGTATGCTTGCTGGCCAGAAGATGATCGCGGCTGCCGTAAGTCTCGGTGTAAGTCTCGGTGTAAGTCTTGTTTTCTGGATTAACTCAAACCTTTTCGCTTGGTCGTGTTGCTCCTTGCAAATAAGAAGCTGGTCGTGTGAACATTTTGACTTCTGAATTGCGGTGTGTGTTTCAGCTAAATAAATCTATGACTATTTTATCGAGTAGAATTAGTAAGTAAGCTATTACATCACATTTTGAACATGTTGCCGGTAAGTATTAACTTTGACTTCGACCAATTATTCTTGAACTCTAAAAACTGGAATACTTTTTGAACGTACAGGTGAAAGCCAGCAATTCAACACAAATACTTGTAACGAGTAAATCCGATCCAATGTTAACAATTCTGTCCAGAAAGTTAATCAACAACGGGAATTGGTAGTTAAATGCACGACTTACTTACAGTTTATGCACGAAAAACATTTCGTTTCATTCTCTCTGACGATAGTTTATTAACTAACCACAAGTGAATGCTAAAGCCTTCAGTGTTTGATCATGAAAGTTCATTTTAGGGCGTTTTAGCCTCTTTCTTTTCAAAGAAAAATAGGCAGTAAAACATTCACCTGTTGTGTTTCACGTAAACGAGTTTGTGAATACAGAAGACTGTTAACAGCCCTCTATTTTCTCGTATTTCTATTCGATTGTTGAACGCGCGGATAGAATCGCGAGAGAACTGGCCGCCAACGCAAAACGGGAGACTTAACAGGGTAGGGGGTGGGGACCGAGAAATTCTTCGTTTGGCTCGCTTCGCTCGCCTCCCCGCTCCCACCCCCGCGTGTTCGGCGCTCGATTCGCTCGCGTTTTCTTGCGCGTGTATTGAAAAATAGAGAGACTGTGAACAGTCTATGATCACAGTCGAACCCCTATAGCAAATGTCAGTGACGTCACCTATTATTATTAAAATGCCAACCACAGAACTATTGGCTGGTGAAACAAAGGATTCTTTTGTTTAACGTGTTGGACATTTAAATAACAAAAACAATGTTTGCAAACAGATATCTTCCCTATTGAGCGGCCAGCCCTCTGTTAAGTGACCACATATCGAAGTCCCGAAATTATTGTCAGAAAAATACTACACTAAAATTAACATCTGTATAAAAGGAAATAAGGTAGCTATTGTACCATATTTTGTAAAAAGAAGTCCGTTTTCGCTCCTATATGATGTATCCATAAACGGAATTCGGTCTGTTGCACATAAGTACACTGCGGAAACCAAACACATCCAGCAAAGAGGTGCTTTTAACGAGTAAATGCATGGAAGCAATCTGTCCAAAAAGCTAGGGAATAAGGGAAATTTTGAGAATGTAGGTGAAAATCTAAACTCTTACAACAACAGAGAATTTTCAGTTTATATATTATCTTGGTTTGACATGGAGTTTACACGTTTCATTGATTGATGATTCTGGGGGCCTGAGATGTGGCAAAAGATTGATTTTAGTCGCTACGAAAGTTATAACAGTCTTTTCGCTTTACTTCCAAGTTGAAAATTGTTCATAAAATTGTTTACAAACTTGAGTTGCTTGTTTGCTTGACTGTAAATTGTGAGCAGAATTTTCTTGGAGGGGGAAAAAGCACAAGTTTCCCGTTCAGTGGAAGTTTTGGGCTGTCAAACAGGAATTCCAAAGGGTCTGAGAAAAAATCAGAAATCCCAGAGGGAAGGAGGGTTTAACGACTCGAAGGGTATGGGGGGTAAACCATTTTGGAATTTCCGAAGGCGAGGGGGGTNCGGAAATTCTGGAGGGGGGGGCGGGTAGGGGTTAACGATTTTGGAATTCAGAGGGCATGGGGGGTAGAGCATTTTGGAATTTCTGAAGGCAAGGGGGGAGGGGGGGGGGTTAAAATGTTCATGCCACCCGTGGTAGGGTATGGATATTTTCTGGAATCACCCATTGTGCCCTCTGAAGGCCAAAAACGGCCCTGCATTACATTTTTTTTTTATGTTTAGGGAAATATTAATTTGATTTCTCATTACCATTGTAATAAAATTCATTCTCGCCATGTAGTGAATTCTTGACTGGTTTCGATGTATGAAAATAATATGGTTAAATAATATGCTTTCAGTGATACAGTACATGGAATTGTTTACTATTAAATGATACAGAAGAACCCTGCAAAAAATGAGGGAAGTTGCATGCATAATTATTATTTTAAGTGGACAAAAATCATTTTGTAGCCAGCAGTGCAGGTGATTTCCATGTGTTACTGTTATGTTAGCTAAGGTAAAGTGGGCAGGGTTGGGATGGAGGCTTTCAATCTCACTCCTACTCCCTGGAACGCCTTTTTGTCTCCCCCTGAGCTGAGTTTGAATCCAAGATGGCGCTTGCTTGATCAAAATGTGCTCACTCGTCAAAATATGCCTGCATTACAGGCTATAATTTCTGTGTCATTTGTAATGTGTGCGGAAGTGTTTAATATCAGCCTCAAGTCAATGATAAGATACCCAATTCCTGGCAGGCAGGGAGTTTTCACCAAGGGAAAAATGTTGACAAAAATAATGGCGGGTCTAAAACACAGGTCACGAGTCATTGTTTTACCAATACTGGAACAACCTTAAACCTTTACTAATACTAACCTTAAGCCTAAACATTGTCTTAGTGTAGTATTTAGGCCTAAAACATTGTCTTAGTGGAGTTCCTAGGCCTAAGGTTAGCATTAGGAAGGGGTTAGGGTTGTTCCAGTATTGGTAAAACAATGACCCGTGACTTGTGTTTTAGACAAGCCGCAAAAATAATGCTATTTCCTGGTTATTATGGTTTAATTAATATTTTTTAAACTACATGGATTCTCTTAACATCTACCTTACAGTTAGGCTCAGGTAACACTGGTTATTTTTAGCTACTCTGGTGAGGGCTAAACATAATCTCAGGTAAACATCAAGGTTTCACCAGGTCTGTTGGGAAGCTGTCAACTAGAGCTTACTATATCGTGTCCACAAAGAGTAACAAAAAATAACTACCACTGGAAGTATCATGCTGTACATAGCTATTTGATGGTCACTGCTGTAAAGATCACCCCTTTCTGCCCCTCTCTAAACCCCACCTCTCTAAATCATATCAAAATGGTCCATAACAAGACTAACAATAAACACAGATGCATGTGAACCAGAGCTGAGATGAAGGCCACAGAGATACTAATCTCAAGCAAACTTTTTTCAGTTTCACACATTTATCTTAGTTTGGAAAAACAATGAAAATGGCATAAATGTCTTACCATCACTCTCTTGTGACAAAAACAAACAAACAAACAAAATAAAACAAAAGATAGGGAGAGGAAAAAAAAAAAAAAAAAAAATAATTACATGTACTGGCAAAGTAGCAAAGTAAATATTATTTCCATTTTAAAAGTTTCTTATACACGTATGTATTAATTGCACTACATTGTATTTTTGGTCCCACAGTGTGACTATTTGCTATCCTAAATTAAGATGTTTCTTTGCAGCATTATTGACCTTCCTCTCAAAGTTGGGTGACTCAATCTTGCTGTTCATGTCATAAAATGGATTCATTATTACCTGAAATGAAACAGTAACTAAATGTAAACGTGTCCTTCAAAGAAGTGGTAATACACGGAAGAAACAAAGAAAAAGTTGCATCTCTGGCATATTTAATAGTTAGGATAAGTGCTGATTATTAATGCTCACCGACAATAATAATTATTGTGGGTTAGCATTGATAGTCAGCTGCAAAGAGAATTATCCTCTACCATCATAGGCCTGCAATGCATACAGAAAGCTTCATTATCCAGATCTCTGCATGAATTGCAGGCCTACGATGATACAAGGTATTAGAAGTTTATTAATACAAAGGAACCCTGCCTTACAGCCACCTCATTGATATGGCCACCTTATTCTGGTCCAAAAGAGAAGCTCAGTCAGTCATTTTTTGGCTCAAAGAACATCTTTTACAAAGCCACCCTGTTAATATGGCCAGATTTTTGTGGCCCATTGGTGACGGGATTTACAGCTCGTATTCCACTCACTGTATTTCATTTCTTTGCAATTTAATATTATTGAAGAGCTAAATGGATAAAGAGCAGGACCTACATTTTGGGCTAGTTTTAATATATGGGAGAGGTTCTTATTCAAGTCAAGGACATTACTGAAAACAAAACATCATCATAAATTGTTTCATTTTACTCCCAAAAGATTTGAAATTTGAAAATTTGTTTCAAATTTCAGCTAGCATGTTTAGAGCTGCACTCAGCCCTCAGCCTTTCAATTGACCATTTTACAGTTGTCTGCTCAGTGACCTGGCCTTTGGATGGTACTGAGGCTGGAGTTGACCTTGTTTTGATACAGACCTCACTGCTTTTGTTGTACAAGACAAGTTGTTCTGATAACTGTTCTAACCACATGTAGGTGCATTTACATGACAAAAGCAGTGAGGTTTGTATCAAAACTAGGTCAACTCCAGCCTCACTGCCATCCAAGGGCCAGGTCACTGAGCAGACAACTGTAAAATGGTCTATTTATTAATTATGAATGAAGAAATTCAAAAGTACCTTTATATATGTTTCATAGACATCAGTGAAGAAATTCTTTATCCCATCATCATTTTTCACATCGTGAAGCATCATAAATCTCTTTCATAAAAACCAGTCAAGGAAGACATTATTCTGTATGAATCATCACAATCATACGTTGACTGTATTTTTTCGTGGGTCAACGAGCTGACATGTGCTGAATCTTTATTGACAAAAATTATAATAACAGGTACATTTACAGGATAGAAGTTTATAGCTTCCTCTTTCTAATCTTCTTCATTCCCATCTCACTCCCTAGTCTCCACTTCAGTAAGTGGAAAAGTATAAGCTTCTTATGCCCGCCTGGTTCATAGCTTGCAGAACTTAACTCTGGGTTTCACAGCATGAAATGGCAAAGAGTATTGCTACTTCCCCCGGTATTGCTACTCCCTTCCCCTCTGCAGGACATACCCTGCAGTTTATTGCAGTACAGTTACTTCCCAGAATTCTGGCAGGCTGCCCCAACAATTTACAGCACAGTACCCATTAATATACTTCTGAGAGGAGAGAGAGACACTGTAAGAGTAACGTTGTCCTGCCCAAGAAAACAACACAATGTCCCCAGCCATGGCTTGACCCTAAACTGCTCAGTCAACATCCAGAGTCCAGTGCACTACTCATTAGGCCACTACACCTCCCCAAAACGGAGGTACACAGGATAAATAATTACTATAATAGCTTGTGATAAATTAAAATGAAGGATATCAGAGGCTGTAACAAAGGCAGACACAAACCATTCGTTGAATTTGTCAACATTTTTGAGATACCTGTTTTATAAAAAACAAACGGATTAAAAAAAAGAAAGAAAAGAAACTAGTTTGTAATCAATACTGTAAGACTTAAAAAAAAAAATAGGATTGTGCAACCTACAAAACTCTTTAAAGGTGATTTCAAATCTGAAAGTTCATAAAAAGTTAGATGGAGTAGGGAAACATTTGCTTTATACTCTTATACAAGTCTTGGAGCTGAACCGAACTGATCAATATCTGATATCTTGTGTACAGCATATTTAGATGAAAAAATTTTCTACTACTACATGTAATAATAACAGAAACAGCCACAGAAAAAATAATGAGCAATACAAAAAGTAGCATTGACAATGAATTCGAAATATCATCCACTCACATTCCAGTTGTGGTCCACATGGACTCATCAACAAGATCTAAAGCAGCATGTGCAATAAACTGGTTGAGATGTCTGTGATCATCTCTCTGAAGAATCAAAGCGTTAATTTTTACTGACAATAGTTATATGAATCCCTGGAACTTCAGCCTCAAATGAGCAGTGAATAAGATAACAGGTACGTGATTCTACAAGTTTAAAAACAATCCAGGCATCAATATTAAGTCTAGTATTTCTTATGCCATCATGTACCACGGGCACTAATGTTTACCTTGTAACTGTGGTCACGGGTTTGCGAGGAATCCATAGATTTCATCTGCGGACTAAACTCCGTTTCAAAGACTGGATTGTCGCGAGGACCAACGATAGCAAAGTAATAATTTCCTAGCATTGTAATGCTGAAAGTCGAGCAATCCCACGACTAATTCTAAATCTAAATCATTGACTCAGTTTGTCCTACGGCCATCATTTCCTGGAGACAAATTTCTACCAGGCGTTAATTAACTGGACTGCAAAGACTGGGGAAAGCAATGACGTCATCTTACTCGTATCCAGGGTCTTCGCGTTGAAATCCAAGATGGCTACCAGTTCCATCCCAAACATCATTGCGGGGCGAATTTTTCCGCCAATGGCCTTCCCAGGAAAGAACAGTGTGGCGCGCAGAGAAATTTGTGCAAACTTCTTCAAGTTCAATTTGCAGATTTTGGACAAATTATGGCTTAAAAGTTCTTCAGCAAGCAAGGAAATCAACGTTTTGGAACGAGGTAACGACCTTGCAGGTAAAAGGAGTAGTTTCTTGGGGAAATTGGGAAAGATTGTCAAGTTTCAGGGCCCCTTATGGAAAGACGTCCAGTTTCCTAGCACTCGTAAACATAAAATCCCGCTGTACATGCATTCAATTAAGGTTGCTAAAGCAATAGCGGTGCAATGTTGGCTTCTTTGATCTAATTTACTATTTTACTTTATTTGTATATTGTCCCCCTTTTATCTCTGATTA